AGAGAAGTGTTAAGACAGCCACTAGAATCACTTCCTGCTGTTTTACAGAGTTAAATTCCATGAAACAACGCTGGATGTTCTCACATTTTGCGTGAGGATCATCAGTTTGTTGGAAAACCACATAGGAAATTATTTCCTATGCAGAAGGCCTAAAGTGCGCTCACCACGTATGTGCATTAGGTTCTCCCCATTGGCTGACATTGTTGGAGAAGGAGTCTGACCGAGTGTGGAAGGACATTGGTGCTGGTATCAGGTAAGGGAAAAAAGTTTTCTTTAACCCTCAACATCACTGAGTGGGGAGGGAGGAGCGAGGGGGTAGAGTGTTCCTTTAGTGTTAGGAATACAGATTTGTGTAAATATTATAATGTTCTTTTAAACTTAGAGAAAAGCTACAGGTTTTTTTTTTTTTTTAAGCATCATTGGAACACAAATAAATATAACCCAAACTGTTTAATACATGAAAAACATTTTATTTACAAAGTCTATCATCAATACATATAACACATAAATATAGATTTAAATCTAATACTTTTCTTTCTTGTTCTCTCTGTGGAACCCTAAGTGTTGTATATAATTGCATACAGAAAGGTTGGAAGAATAAAAACAAACATGTCTATATCAATTCCATGTCCAAGGAATACATGGTTCTCAAAGAAAAATAACCTTCACTTATCTTCTACACTGCCCATGCACCAGTATTCATTATCACAAGAATGTTTTCTGCCATTGCCTCTTGTTTCACTCTGAATCCAAGGGCACTATTAAAAGATGTCCTCATCTCTTCCCATACTGCACAGGAGCCTAAATAAATAACACATTACAGTGCTACTAAATAGAAACCAGAGAGGAAGAGAATGGGGGAGAGACTTTGACAATGTCAGGGCATATTTGCAGGTTGCAATAGCAGATCTTGACTTATGCCCACCTCTGAAAAATAAGTAATAAAATACGTTTTTTCCCCGTATTAAATAAATTTGTTTCCTCAACTAGTGTGTAGCGGAGAGCTGGCATTCCACAGCCTATCTCCACTTTAGATCCCAGGGAGACTCAGGAACAAGCAATTATAATTCCATAGGGTAAAGTATCCAGCAGGCAAAGTAACAGCAGTATCCCAACAGCAATTCCCAAGAACTGGACGACACACAGTTTCAGGAGCATAACTAAAGCTTTATTCAGACACTGGCCTTTTAAAGCCTGCTCCCATGCAAGGGAGGGATTTTCATTCATTAGTACAGTAGCCAATCCTGCTCTGGTAACCTCCCACACCTCTCCTCCCCTCAGCCTGCATCATAATCCCCTTATCCAGGACACCAATTCCCCCCATTTCTGGATGTACCCCTAAACTTAGGGGTACCACTTTAAATCATACATCCCCTGGTAGCCCTGATCTGGGTGAACAACATATCAAAAAATCACCCAGATCAGACCAGGGGTTCGGGAAATTTATGGAGGGAATAAAATGACCGACCGCACTGAGTGAAACAGCCGAATGCGGTTCCATGTGAATGGGCCCTGCGGTCGGTCCTGGAGTCAGGGAATAAATGGCACGAAAACCTCTAGCTACAGAGGCTAGGGAGGGTTCACCTGAATCCCCTCGTTCGGTTCTTTCTATCTACCGAACGAGGGGCTGTTCGGTAGTTAGGAACCGAACGGACCGGGCTTGTGGAGGTTTCAGCGGTGTTCGCCTAGTCGAGTGTCCGATTTGAGTTCCAGACACTCGACGGCAAAACACCGCTGTTCGGGAGGTTTAAAATGGCCACCGCCACGTGTTCGTTTTTCGAATGGCGGCCACCCCCGAGAACAAAGGACAGCTACTTAGCTTGTCAATTACCCGTTCGCAACAATGTTGCAACGGGTAATTGAAGACACACTTCACACAGGGGAGGTCTGACTGTTCGGTAGTTTCATTCGAACAAACTAAGGGAATGAAACTACCTAACATTCAGACGAATACAATACATTACATACATAGAACTTGCTGTTTTATGCGAACACATTAAAATACATGAAATTCTCAGGACAGCCCAGGGCCATCCGCTACATAGTGTATGTACTGAAAGCACATTAAAGGGACACTAAAGTCACCCAGATCACTTCAGCTCAATGAAGTGGTCTGGGTGCCAGGTCCCTCAGGTTTTAACCATTCAGATGCAAACATAGTTTCAGAGAAACTGCTATGTTTACATTGCAGAGTAAAGCCAGCCTCTATGACGCTGAAAGGCATATTATGCGACTCTGGAGACTGCGACGCTGGAGGCATATTATGCCTCCATCACGCAGAGCGTCTGTAGGAAAGCATTGAGAAATGCTTTCCTATTGACAGCTTGAATGCGCGTGTGGCACTTGCTGCGCATGCGCATTCGGCTCCGCTGACTTCGGCAGAGGGAGCTGACATCGGAGGGGGAGGAGAGATCACCAGTGCCGAGGGAGCCCGGCGCTGGAACAAGGTAAGCTGCTGAATGGGTTTTAACCCTTTCAGCGCCACGGGAGGGGGACCGCTTTGTGGTTTCCTGACACTATAGTGATCCTTTAGTGTTCTTTCTGTAACTGACTGTAAGATTATAAAATTTAGAATTTTAAGGGATTAAGTTTTTTTTGCTGTATTATGCCACTAATTTCCCTTTTTTTGTTTTTGAAAGAATGATTTAATTAATTAAAAAAATAAGTTTTCAGCATTTTTATGAATTACATTTTTAGGAAACTTTGGGCAATCTACTCACCAAACTACTGTTTGCCCTAATTTTATGTTCTAATTTTTTAAAGCAAAACAAAGAATATGAGTACTCTGAGAACAGACAAAAGTTTAGAGAAACTCAGTAGCTTACCCTTTGGTAAATCCACGATCAGGTCTCAAAAAATTTTTGTACCACCTGTACGGGAAGTCCACAACTGAAATGCCAGAAAGTTCCCTCTGCACAAGAGATACAACAACCCCAGACGATCGTTTCAGCCTTCTTTGAGCCTCATCAGTGAGGTGTAACTGATACCCCTCTAGGCACAGTGAGCACTTTTTAATTTGGGGAGAGCCAAGTTAATGCATTGAAGCATAAACAAAGAATATGAGAATTCTGAGATGTTACAAATAAATGTTATGCTTAACGTTTATTTCTGAAAAATAACTTGTTAGTGAATGGGTTAAAGTTGCAAGAGAAATCGTAATTTTCTGCAAAACCAATATACATTAAATGAATGCATGAAGGAATAGACTATTCTTGAAAGTTTTTTTGAACTTTTTCCCTTTTTTTTTGTTTAATCTACATGGAAATATAGAAATTACTAGCCATGGGTGGAAGTAAGTAGTCACTTATTTTTGCCAAATATTACTCATCACAGCTTTGTTACTCCTTGCAGAAATGGGGGAGACCTCACTTGAGCAACATCTTTCTCAGCATGAAATGCAGACATCCCCTTATTAATGCTCTGTTGAATGCCTGTGTGTTTTCATCATCCATCTACGGTGCTGTAGAGGTTCTTAGTGATTATGAGCTGTTATCTATTTGCATGATTGCATTTTTGTGAAGTGGGTTAAAATTACCTTTTATAACATTAGCAAGGAACGTTTGCCAAAATAATTGCAGAGAACATATGCAAATCATTCCATCTCAAAACACTTGTGCTGTAAATTAGTTGTAAAATGTTTGTGAAGCACTTTTCACAAATAGTCCCTGTGAGAAGACTGAAAAAGGGAGCCTTTAAATAGCTTTAAAAGTTGCATATGGAGCTCTTAGCAAAATACGTAAATGTCCTATTTATGACTGTTAAAGTGACACAAATTGCTTTTCTGAACTAATATAGCTCAGATATAAAAATGAGCAGCATTTCACACAGTCATTATGTGTAACCTCTTAGACTATCATTGGCTTGCTAATATTAAGTTCTGTGCTTTTATCAATGGGTCGTTATGAGGTGCCATCAAATTCTGTGGTACTGTACAAAAGACTTAAGTTGACATTCAAGGAACATTACAAAAAACAAAACACACACACACACACACACACACACACACATATATATATATATATATTTAAAATGCTATAGTAAATTGATTTAATGTCAATCTACAGCTGCTCTAGAAAATCCTCTTCATGGGTAGAGCAGGGATAAATAGAAAAGTAGACTTTTTCTATTTTATCTCTTACTGGAAAAGCAGCATAAAAATGAAAAAGAATAAGGACCAATAAAAAAACAAAAACTTGTACTTGTTTTGCACTTAAAGGAATTCTCTAGTGCCAGGAAAACAAACACGTCTGCCCCACATCCGACGTTGCTGAAGGGGTTAAAACCCCTTCAGACACTTTCCTGAATCCAGCGCTGATGTCCCTCGGTGCTGGGTCAGGCTCCACCCACGCTCCTCCCATGCCAACGCCTGACGGAGGAGGAGACCTAATGCGCATTATTCAGTGCTTTCCTATGGGTATTCTGGTGACGGTGGAGGTCCTCATGCATAGTGTGAGGACGTCCAGCGTCGTTTAGATGACCAAAAGTCATCTAAGAAGCCGGAAGTGCCTCTAGCAGCTGTCTGGTAGACAGCCACTAGAGGAGGACTTAACCCTGCAAGGTAATTATTGCAGTTTATAAAAACTGCAATAATTACACTTGCAGGGTTAAGAGTGATGGGAGTTGGCACCCAGACCACTTCAATGAGCTGAAGTGGTGTGGGTGCCTACAATGTCCCTTTAAATAAAAGCACATGGTTCTCAAGTCAGGGTCATTACAGTGCTGTACATCAATAAATTAATCACAAAGTGATACCTCAAAATGAGCATTGCTGCATTGGAACCAGAGGCGGTGCAAGGAGTTTTGCCGCCCTAGGCAAAAAAAAAATTGCCGCCCCCATATGTCCTGCCCACCATGTGACATCACAATGCCCCGCCCATATGCTCTGCCATATGGGCCAACGCCAGTCTTCACAAAGTGTCTTTTATCTGAAAAGACAGAGTGTTTACATTAAAAAGCCTACAGGCACAGGCTATAGACACCAAAACCACTACATTAAGCTGTAGTGCTTCTGGTGACTATAGTATCCATTTAATGTGAGGTAAATTAGAGATTAGTGCCACTAATAATATATTGGATTGCCTACTTACCACCAGATGAGGACAAGAGGCTGATGATGGGCTCAGTCTGGCTCCACAGGTTTGGTGTAGAACAGGAAGCAGCGCCATTTTGGGGGCCCCTTACACAGCTCAAGGTCTGGGCCCCCAGGGCTTGACCGTGAGTATGCCTTCAATGCCCACCCATAAATCCACCTACATGGCCCACCCATGAGTTCTCTCACAGGTAGTGGAGTGTATGTGTGTAGGGGATGTTTTATGTGTTATTGTAGAGAATGCAATTTGTGTCTGTTCTTATAGAATGTAGTGTATAGGAATACCAATTTGTGTAAGGGATGTAGTGTGTGTATAGTGGATGCAGTGTGTGTTTGCGTGTAAGGAATGCATTGTATGTTTCTGGGTGTGTGTGTGTGTGTGTGTGTGTGTGTGTGTGTGTAAGGGATGCAAGGTGTGTTTCTGTGTATGTAATTGAAAGCAGTGTGTGTCTGTAAGGGGTGCATTGAGTGTGTAAGAGATGCATTTTGTTTCTGTGTGTAAGAGAATGAGTGTTTGTGTGAGCGTAAGGGATGCATTGTGTGTTTCGGGTGTGTCTGTGTGTGAGTAAGGATGCATTGTATGTTTCTGTGTGTGTGTGTGTGTGTGGGGATGAATTGTGTATGTGTGTAGTGTAAAAGAGAGGGTTTTGTGGGGTAGGATAGGGACTGAGAGGGGAGCAGCTCTTTATTTTGTTTAAAAAAATTCATAGTGCTCACCCCTCCTGTCAATTAGTGTTCTCCCTTTCTGTCCCTTAGTGCTCTCCCTTGGCCCCCTGTCCCTCTGCAGTCCCCCCTTGGTGGACTTCTCACTCCCCCCTCTCCCTCTTAGTGGTCCTCCCTCCCCCCCCCCTTTGGTGGTCCTCCCTCTGGCAAACCCCCTCCTCCCTCAGAGGTCCTTACTCCTCCCCCTCCTCCCTCACTGGTCCTTAGTGTCCCCCCTCCTCCCCAGTGATCCTTAGTGTCCCCTCCCCCTCCTCCCCCAGTGGACCTTAGTCCCCCCCTCCTCCTCCAGTGGTCCTTAGTCCCTCCTCCTCCTCTCCCAGTGGTCCTTAGTCCCTCCTCCTCCCCCAGTGGTCCTTAGTGTCCCTCCCCTTCTCTCCCCAGTGGTCCTTAGTCCCCCCTTCTCTCCCCAGTGGTCCTTAGTGTCCCCCTCCTCTTCCTCCCCCCAGTGGTCCTTAGTGCCCCCCCTCCTTCTCCCACCCCCAGTGGTCCTTAGTGTCCCC